GTCACATTTTCTCTGATTTCAAGTAAATAGGGTCAGCGCAATGAACAGAGTGTTGCCTTTCGTTTGGGGGGGAACTTACCAGTTTTGCAAAATCAAAATGTCAAAAAACTGGGGGTTACGTCCCCAAATATATACAATCCCCTTGGATACCCCCAGAACACAGCTAAGAATCACACACACAGGCCCCGATTGTGGGAAAAAAAGGAACAGGCCACTTTGGCCTTGCCTTCATTAAATTTCAACAGGGCACCAGGCCAGCTCAAGGGGCACCAAGGCCAATTAATTTGAAACCAAGTTTGATTTACATTTTTGACAACCAGTCATGTAAACTCATGAGTCATGTGAGTATAAGCTATTCAGTTCTTGTACAACATGCCATCCCCCCTTCAATAAAAGGTGTTTATCATGCTGCTATTATTTGTTGCATTCCCCGTGTAAAACTGTAATGGTCATTTTTAATTAATTACAATTACCCGGATGATTTCTTCCTTCTGAATCCAGCCTCTGATTTAATGCTTGCTTAGATTTTGTGTCCCTTTCCCGTTAGAATTCAAGGATTCCTAACCCGCTTAAACTAAGTTTAAATATAATAAATAGTGTTTATCCCTTTATTTAAATGAAATGGGGATCCTTTTAAAATATTTACTGTTTGCTAAATGGTTACAGAAAACTCCGGGTCAAGTCGGCATCATTCAACTCGTAAATCAGCCTGTTGATAAACATACAGATCGTGTGTTGATGCATTTCCATTGATAATTTTCAAGTGGGCCTTTATAAGCCGTCGTTTCGTTCAAGTCTTCATGTTCTCTCAGTTTCTTTTCCACAAAACCACAAAAAAAAATCCTCGGTATAAAGTGGGCTGTAAACAAACAATCGATTTCCAGAGCTTCGTTGTCGATACTGACGTGGAGTGGGCCCACATTGTACTGTACATGTATATTTTCCATGCACGCGAGCGCGACCACAAATGGGTTTCCCCAATATTCGCATTAATACCAATACCCCCTCTAGTGCATGCGCATGCGCTCTGTCCCTTTTTGGGGTTCGCCCTATTAAACGAAGTTTTACTTGCGGCCTGCCCCCCGAGATCCCGCGTGCATATACATGTACATGTACGTATATACGCTCGGCGCCCGTGCATGACATGTATGCTAGTGCGTGTTAGCGTTATGTCAGTACAAAGAGCATGCACGGGTCGTCCTCAGTACGGACGGAGTGCTAGCGATGATCAAAATCAATCAATTAACGGAGATAGAAATAAACCAGGGCAGATCAAAGCAATTAAACTGGCACAATGAATCATATGGATGGTATTAAGGCAGAACATCGTGTAAGTCGGCAAGCAGCACATGTCGGCATTTAGAAGTCATTATTTTTTACAAGTTTATAAATACTTGATCCCTACTTTTTCTGGAAAAGAGGCTTTCAAGCTTCTGGCATTTTGAGCCCTCCTGTAAGAAAGCATCCTTTTAGCATTTCTTTATACAATCGTGCGATCGTGACAATGTAATAACATTAGTCGTGATTGGATATGTGCAATTTCTTGCCTCATATGATTAAAAAAGGAAGATTTTATTCTAATACTGCTACAATTTTGGCCTTTTTCCTGCACCAATANTGAAGAACAACGTGCATGACCGTAAATTGATGATAGTCGCCAGGTACTTCCCAAATTGTAAGGTACATGTACATGTACTACTCCGTAGACCTTACCGGGGTCATCTTCTTGATGGTTCCGTACTTCATGGCATTTTGAAAAGTGCTCTGCCAGGGTCAGGTAGTTGTTCCAGAGAAAACCTCCGTTTGTGCTTTCTGGAGCAAATCTTCCCCTAAAGACCCTAGTACTGAATTTCTACCTATATTGAAATGCCGGGTTTTTGTTTATTTTGAAGAATTTAACCTATATTATTGTCAAAAACTGAGGGTTTTTTTCCTACCATCCTCCCCTCTCATCCCTTGACGATCTGCACACATCTGTATTCTCTTATGGCCATACGTCTCGTGACAAAACAGACACAGTGACCGCTTGGCCTGGCATGTTGTTGCTGGAAGAAGCCAATTTGTTTGGGAAGAGTTTCCTCAACGGACAACTCTAATTTTCCCTTAAAATGTTATAACAGCCATCAGAAAGTTACAACATGTCCCAGAGATTGAAATTAAAGCTAATAAAAAAGTCCAAAGTATACACTTATGTTACAAACCAATTAGTTTTTCAGACAAGTCTCATAGGTTTGTGCACTGGGCATCAATTGTTGGAAGATGATCTTTCCATTTGTTTTACTTCACACAAAATACTGCTTGTCTCATATGAATGTAATATATTAATCATAATTAAAGACATTTGAATAAAGGTGTGAACATTTGGTGGAAAATTCCAAATTAAAATTAAGGACAGTCAAATTTTGTTATCTGACGTTTTGCTGATGTTACCAAACATTGGCTCGATCCAGTGTCCATTGTTTTGACAGTGGATATTAAGCTATCTCCGGCAAATTAACAGTAAATTATTAACTAAACTGTATTTTTCCAAATACATGTGAAGCAAATTTTTTTCACTTAAAAATTGTTATTGTGACAATCTCAGTCTAGTTGCTTTCCCGCACAGTGATTTATAGGCCATAAGAAGGTGACACTTAAAAAAGTCAAATTTAGCAGTGAAAATATTGAATATTGAATATATAATATTTACTTAGAAAGCACTTGCAATGTTTCAGACTAGTTTCGTATGTTTTTTGCACAAGGTGTCAAGTGATGTCTATGTATGGAACTCTTTCCTTTATTTTGTCATTTGATCCATGTCTTTAGTCAAGATAACCCATTCACAAAATAATATGGCCTCATGTAAGACACTGTGCAAAAACTTACAAAGATAATCAGATACAAAAAGGGTCAGAGTGGGAATGAGGCTGGAGAACCTCGGGTCATTTATCCACAATCTTTTGGATTTCTCTAAGAGCGGTTGAGACTGCTCAGTGGGAGCAAATCTTTCAACTGAGTTATGTTACTTATTTACGTTTGCATAATATAGCGCGATACACTTTGTTTTTGACAATTATTTTGATAAGTTTTTTACATTCGTTGGTTGGTTTGCAGGTGGTAGTGTACGTTAACAAAGTGGGACCTTACTTCAACCCTCATGAGACTTACCATTACTATCAGTTACCTGTGTGTAGACCAGAGAAGGTAGGATACAAGGAGACTGTTTCCTGTAAACTGTAGCACACTTTTCCTCTAGCAGTCTGTATCACAGAACTCTACTTTTGACATCTTGTAGAATTTACATGTATGTCCTGCCCTTACAAGGCATCTTCAGTTGGTTGCGGGCGTCTGTTTACATTCGTTGTAAGGATGATGCAATTTGTGTATAATTGCAGCATTGATGAGTGCTTGATGTACGTGCTCTGTGAAAAACTGAAAAGTTACGCAGTATAGGATTAAGCATCATCAGTTTTTATCTTGACGGTTTCATTGATCAGTGATTGAGATACAGATTTGACTTTAAAAGGTACTCGATGCACTGTCCTATATGTACTTCAAAATGCACAAGCACTGTATGTTGACCATTAGCCCTATAAACTCTCAACGTGCTCCTGTGAATAACCTTCATATATCCTTTCACATCAACTACTTACATGTATGATATCACACTTGTCAATCAAATGCATGTGCTTTCAAAACTGAGCAAACTTCTGCATGTATACATGTATAATATCATAATTCACACAAAATGCTCATAATGGGTGTTGTGAGAAGGTAGACCATTCAAGAAGGTCAGCTCACTATGAGCACTATTTAAGCTAATGTCATGGGAAATAACAGGACTTTAGTATGTCATGTAATGCAACATTACAGGCAACATGTTTGAATTTTTCAGACCAGTCTCATAGGATCTGTTCACAAGGTATCCAGCGGCATCTGCATATGGAATTCTTCCCTTCAACAAACCTCTCAATTTGGCCTTTTGTACTCATAGAAACTCCCCACGTAAATGGTGTATGAATGTAGTGTTTCCAAATATTCTCAAAGAGCCCATGAAGTTTATGAACTGACTTGTGTGATGTACATGTACCTCATAAATAATATGTTTAAATCGTTGACTTTGGTAAAAGACAACAAACTTTCACATGTACTCCTGATTACTCTGGCTTTCCAGGTTGAAACACGCAGCTTAACATTAGGAGAAATTCTAGATGGAGACAGAATGGCAATTTCTATGTACGATGTCAAATTCAAGCGTAAGTAATATCATGGGTAATTGTACGTGAGGCCACATTCAAACCGGAATAAATCCCTACGTGCATAAATCCTCACATTTCCTACACGTACATGATCAGAACTTTCTTGTGGCCAAGAATCCAGTGTCGATTTATCAATTAAATCAAACTTCTTTGGTTTTTAGTGGTGTGGCTGCACCATACGGTGGGCTGAAGTCAGTGACACGTGATCAACAATTATTAATCAGATGACAGGACTATTTAGAGTTTGTTTTTTTTTATATTGACTAGCCATACCATTGCAACTGTGTCACATGATAGAGATATATGTGTACAAATGTCAACGCCTGTTCCATCAGTCATTCTGTCGCTGGACTTTGTCTTGTCACAGTGTTCACTTAAGCAATGTTCAAGTTTACTGTTGAAGACTAGCCAATGTATAAATCGTTGTAGAAGGAAATTCAGTGTTGACTCTCTTTGACTGTTAGAAAGAGGTTTATTGATCATGTGACTTTCTTTCGGCCAATCAAGCGAGAGACACAAGTTAAAATAATGCAGCAGAATCGAAAGCCACAGTTAGTTAGACTTATGATTGCTTTCACTTTCTCTGCCAGAGAACGAAATCAACAAACAGTTGTGCATTGTGACGCTGAAAGAAGCCGACCTCAAACAGATGAAGGAAGCCATAGAGGATCTTTATTACTTTGAGTTTATCGTGGGTAAGGTTTCTTTACATCTGGCACTCTTCAACCCTAACCCTCCTCAATCCTCCAAAATCCTTCGGGTGATTTTGAAAGATTTTGGAGGATTGAGGGTTAATGGCAAAAGTGCGTGATTGATTGCGAAGGATGCCATGCATGAAGGTCATAGGTAAGACTTTGTGAACATTGTTTTTGCTTAGTCATGCGTAAATTCAGCCTGATGTTTCTTTTGAATCAACTGCACCGCTCAAGGGTGCCACTTGAACTGCCTCAACATTATGACAGGAATTGCCAGAGGATTTTTAAGGATTGAGGCAGTAGGCACACCTCTGAGTAACATTTCCAAGAAAGTTTGGAGGATTGAGTCAAATTTTTTCATCCCCGAAATTGGAGGATTTTGGAGAATCGAGGAGGGTCCCTGGCAAAAAGGGCCTAGGGGGTGAGGTTAATCCCTGCACTGTCGGAGCCTCCAGTCATGAGAAGGATACAACCTGTGCTCATTGCAGGGATGCTTTTACAACAGACTGAGCTGCGATTCTCTCATTTCTGAATTGCTTTTCTTGTTACAGATAACATTCCACTCCGCGGTTTTGTTGGCCATTTTGAAGAGGGCGGGTTCATCCCCCACACCCATAAACTATTCCTGTGGCATCACCACACCTTCTATATTGAATACAACGGGGACCAGGTAGGTTAACAGAAGTTATCCAGTCAGCGAATGTTAATTGCATTTGAAAATTTGAAACGCATGTGGCTGGATCCCACAAAACAAGGCCATGGTTTTCAGCAATCTTGTTTGTGTTTGCATCAAAGAGATCAAACCAAGCTCTCTTATTCTGATTCATCACTCAATTTGGCATCCTGATGAAAAAAGGACATTATTTTGAAGAAAATTGAGGGTTCCTGTTGTGATGGAGCAATCTTCAGTCAGCCATCTGCGTTAAGTACAGACTCGGTCAATTGGGGGTAGTGGAGGACATCGACTTTTCCGTACTCAGTCATTTATTCTCATACACAAAATCAAACTGCAGTCTACAGTGAGCCATGGCGACCGCACGCCTGTGGAACACAGACAACCAGCATAGGGCAAGACTTGGGGTTTTATATAGAATTAATATGTACCACTGGGTTATGCAATTGAATTCCAAGGTACACGGTAAATGCGGATTAAAGATGCACATGTGCCTTCATATTCCACATCATAATCAAGAAAGCACTGTAAATAATCAGAGGCATCACTCTATTAACATTGTGTGGAATTCTTTTCAAGCGGTTGTGGTTGGGTCATAAATGCTTAAGTCACCCAGAAATAAAGTTTTCAGATTCTTTCGTCGTCAGATATTGTAGAACAGAGATTGTAGGCTGTGCATAGGCACACAACAATGGCAACATAGATACAAAACACCCATCAGCTGTGTCATTTGAATATACTCACTGCGTATACAGGTCGCTGCATCATGCTTGTCCGGGTGCTTGTCTATTGATTGAAAAAAAACCAGGTGTTGGCATTTGCGCAGTGTGGTTCCTAGACCAAAAGATTCCGACTGTATTCATCATGGGTTCAACAATCAAGAGTGAATCAACTTGGGAATAAATAGTAGCTATGAGTGTGATGACAAGATGTTTGCATTGCCTGCTCACTTTGTGTTCCATTTTCTGATGAAACCAAGTTAAGATATGGTTACATTTAATGTCGAGATGTGCTCATGTAGATGTTCCGGTAGGTGCAAAGACCCAGGCCCAGCTTTCCATGCAGAACTCAGATGTGGCCTCATCTTTTCCCGCGTGCGGTTTGCCAGTCAAATTGCTCTTTCAATCCCTTGCGCAGATCGTTTACGCCAACATCACCATGAGGGACCGGATGCCGCTGAATCTCGACGATGCCGTGGCGCCCCTGGAAGTGCAGTTCACCTACTCCGTGGTCTGGCAGGAGACCAAGACGCCGTACAATCAACGCCACCTGCGACTGCTGAAGAGCAGCAATTTCTTCCCCAGGACCCTGGAGGTATTTCAAGCTCTTCTTTCAATATGGGCGATACACAATACCGTGCTCCACCAAGCGGTTGCCATGGAGTGCCATCCTGTTTGTCAAGTTTATGGTCAACAACATTAGGCATTTATGTCAGGATATTCATTTTTAAAGTGTAGGAGGAACTTTCTGCACAATTCAAGTTCCCCTCATGCAACCAGCGAATAAATTGTGTCAATTGTTCCCCACAGTGGCATTTTGATGGCCTCTCGATGTTAACCTCTTGGTGGTGCACTGTGTTGTGAACTGCCGGTATTTCATAAACGCTTCCCCTAGTCCTCTAAAATCTTCCATACCTCAGTGGAGGATTTTGAAAGATTAAGATTATTTAGCAAAAACCTGTGGCTGATTTTTCAAGGATGCACTCTGTTAATATCTTGAATAAATGTTCAACAGTGTATAAGTGAATGCCTAGATTATACCTTAAATCATTTCCGCTGCTACATGTACGTTGTCTTATTTACATGGCCTCAACTTATTGAAAATTGTCTCTGGAGGACCTGGCAAGATTGAGGCAGTGGTCTTACCTCCAAGGAACAAATTCATGACGTGAAACAGTTTTGCACGGAGGGAGTTGGACGCTTCAGCTAGTTTTAGGTTTGCATCCTATCAAAAAGACCGCAGCGTGTAGGGTTCAAATCCAGTTTAAATTCATCAACCCCAGCAGTCCTAAATTCGCAAACAGAGGATTCAGAACTGTTAGGGTTGAGAGCTCATCTGCAGAAAGAGTAGATGATGTAAGATCACTCACTAGAGCTCTGGTGTGAGTGGCTCCTGCTGGGTGCATGGAAAGTGTTTGACCAATATTTGTCTGAACCCGCACCAGCGTGTAGTATCTTTGGTGTAGATACCTAGAGTACAGCAACAATGACATCTTCTTGTTTGTCCTGTTTTTATCCCAGTAGATGTTACCATGTGTCAAATGATCACAAGTAATTCTTCATTTTTTTTTTCTCCAACCCCATGGAAAGGTGCGTCTTTGTTGTTGGTTGATGCTATTGGTCATTTTGTGTACAGGTTCATTGGCTGTCCATTATCAACTCCATGGTGCTTGTGTTCCTGCTGCTAGGATTTGTTCTGATCATCTTGGTGAGTGAATCCACCTCAAGACTTGTCCCCTGACTACAAAAGCTATCTGTCACCAGAGTCCAACGAACGAATCCCAGGGCCATTTCTTGAGAACGAGCAAACTGAGGTCGATATGTTGCATTAAGCAGTTTAGCATCAGGATAAAAAAATTACAATGTGCAGGTGGAAAATGTCGAGGGTTCCTACTGATTTACACTGAGAAGAAATCTTTTCAAGGTCTGCAAAGTTCTCCAAATTAGCTTTGGCAACGTACGGCTCATTTTGTTAGATTGAGTCATGTATGGTACAACAGACCGGTGCTTGCCTCTGGTTTCTGAAATACCAAACAACTGAGACTATTTCTGATCCCCTGGAGTTTTGTGCAGTGATATTCATTTACATTCCTTGGTAGAAAGAATCAAGTCAGGGTAAAACGACTTCCCCAAGGACACAATAGTTGGCCTGAAGTCGGATTCAAGCCAGTGACACTTTTATCAGGACTTGCCTTAACAACTGGGGACTTCACTCCCTCTTATCAAGACTAGGAACAATATGTGTTTCTTCAATTATCCCCGTATTTGCAGATGCGAGTCTTGAAGAACGACTTTGCCCGTTACAACCTGGACGACGACGACGCGGATGAGATGGACCAGGAGGAGAATGGCTGGAAGATCATCCACACAGACGTCTTCCGATTCCCTCCGCAGAGGAGTCTGCTGTGTGCCATGCTTGGTGAGCTGAACAACGCTACTCTCATAGCTTTGCCTGATGTTACTCAGATATTGTCACCTTTTTGTCGTATTGATAAGATGGTGCTTCTTTGTCACTGAGACCAGCCATGACTGTTCTGATATGTGGTACAAAGATGGTCTCTTTAACTGTCTAAAAATCCGTCTTTTTGTGTTGTGATTTTTTGACCGTTTGGAAGCAAGGAATTTCCAGTATAACTCTTTGGTATTCTCACTTGAAGCTATTTCAAAATCCTCCACTGTGTAGGAAACCAACTGACCATTCTTTGTACCTCAGCTGGGGAGCAGTGCGGGCTGGGGCTCTACTGTACTTTCTTCAATCCAGCAAAATCCTGTGAAGCCTCCTTTGAGCTTTGACTTTGATAACGATTCACCAATATGCAGAAAGCCATCGGCAGAGCGGCCTCCAGTATGCTGTCTTTATTCAGGGGGTTTCAATGGTGATATTGTATCATAGTATTTGGTGTTGTAGTCCAGGTTAGCGCAGTTAGAGCATAATGCTAAGCAAACAGTTTGAATGCGCACGCTCAATAGAGAAGGCTTTATTTGGAAATTAGGCCTATTCTTTATCATACCTGATCAGTGATCAAATTTCCTGTGCACTCTCAATACCAAACTAATACTGAGCTAACACGCACATGTACAATTTACTCTGTGGCAAAGGACAGTATTGCTGAGGGACAATTTGCTCCCGGGCAGAGGGAAGCCATCACAGTACAGTAACCTGCTCAGGGACATTGGAAGGATAGTCCCCGGAAATGGGCATGGAAAGAATCCATCTGTTAACTGTTGATTTGCTCCAAGAGATTGGAATTCTGAGTGTGCATTTTTTATCAACTGTTTGCCTCTCCGTCCCTGATTTTGATTACACCACTAGGTGTGGGCTCCCAGTTCTTGACCCTGGCCACTGCCATCATCATCATGGCTCTGCTGGGGATGTTCAACGTCCACAAACATGGCTCCATCAACACCGCGGCCATCTTGCTGTACGCTTTGACCTCAGGTAAGTGAATGTCATCTCGCAAGTAGCATTTCACTGAGCCATGGATGAAACTTACTTGGAGGAAAGGAGTTTGTACAATTTACAGCGTATGTTTGCTGGAAAGCAGTATTTTGGAAACGGTGTCATAGAAACATCTTCATTTATACTGCTCAAAGAATCTGGAATTGTGGCTTGAAAGAAACCGTGTTTTCTACATTCTAAAAAATTCATCTGTTGGACAGTTTTTGTGTGTTTTGTTAACTCAACTTTGATGCAGTGAAATTTCTTCTTTGTTATGATCAAAATTGGCAGCCCTGAACGATTTCAAACAAAACAAACCAAAAATGAAGGCAGCTTGTGTGTTGCATTTACCACTTTATGGTAAAATCCCCAGGAATTCTCTTAGATAATTAGGCTTGTAGTTCAACAGCAGTATCATGGTAGAGTGTAACCCATCATTCAAAGAGTTTCTGTAGCACACTAAAGTTGCTTCCTTTGCTGAATAATGTTTGTCTATGTCTGTCACCAGGTGTGTCTGGGTATGTGTCCAGCACCTTCTACAAGAAGCTGGGAGGGGAAAACTGGGTGTGGAACATTGTTTTGACATCGTCATTGTTCACTGGTAAAATTCAGTTAATTTTCTCCCCAAAGCATCGTTGAAGAGATATATACAGAACCCAATTTTTTAGTGAAGCTCAATCCATGCTTGTTCCTGTATTTATTTTCTTTGTCCAGTAAAATTAACAATGCATGATTTAAGTGTTTACATTTATCTTGTTATGTGAAATTTGTAACTGTCCATTGTACCTTTACAGTTGGCCTTAATGGCCCACAATGTGTGTATGCACTTAAGGCCAGTTGGCCTTGGCCATTAGAAAGTTAAAGGCCACAGCCTGTAATTTAGAGAATATTGCAGTGCTTCATTTCCCAATCTTGGTGCTTTATCCTGCTGTGAATGTCTTTGTTGTTCAGCACCATTCTTTCTGATCTGGAGTGTGATCAACTCGGTGGCCTGGTACAACGATTCCACCCAAGCCCTGCCTTTCACCACTATACTGCTGCTCATGTGCATCTGGATACTAGGTGAGTTGGCCTTGCCCACTTGAGAACGACCCACGTTGGAACAGCATACTTGAGCTGTAAATTAAACCAAAGCAGCTCCTCTATTGTGTTATGGACATTCTTGGAATACCAAGCCTGACTTGAGAAATACAGGCCTGATAAGCACAATGTTTACCTCACCAGTTCAGGTTTACTTTGGGACTCAGATTTGGCACTTGATTTAGCTGTGGAGCCAACTGCATAGCCGCAACCATAGACTCGTGTGTAATTTCAAGCTGCAGTCAAGTAATTCGGACGCAGCCTTAGCACAGAAATTTACACTGTAGGGAAATATTTGAAGAGTTAAGAAAACACAGGTTACCAGCCATAATACCATACAGCATTTATTGCCTGCGACTGGTTCCCCGCTCATATCTCCTCAGCACAAAAATTGGCTGGGCGGTATATCTGCGTAGGAGCTGTGTGAAAGTGGCTCTCAGTCATCAGTAAATCATGCTTTGTAGCTTTGACTTTAAAGTACAAGCACGAGCCAAGATTATTTGGGGTTTCCCACAGAGCTTTTTATTGTCATAAAATAGCTAAATAGTGGGCTTTTTCCGCAGTTCAGAAAACTGTCAGAGGATACTCTTCCAAAATTTCAAAAGAGAACATTTTCAGGATGCACCACGTGAGCATTTTAGGAAGGGGGTGGACTGGTGGCTGTGTTCCATGGTCCGAAGGTCCATGGAAACTTTGAAGATTTTTGTTTAAACTTGAAATAGCATTTGTTGTCGGTTTTTGTTGGATGTTTCCAGTGGGCTACCCTCTCACGGTGATTGGAGGCATTTTTGGCAAGAACATGGCCGACTCTTTTGACGCCCCCTGCCGGACCAAGAACATCGCCCGCGAGATACCATCCGTGCCCTGGTTCCGTTCGGGCTTTATGCATTGCCTGGTGGGCGGGTTTCTCCCCTTCAGGTAAACCACTTCTGCCTCATACGTCAGATCCTATTGGATCCAATGGATTTCCCCTCAGTTCCTGTCATTATCTTGGGGTTACAATCCAGCTATAGGTCCCACCTGCTTTGAAGGTCTCGAGGCAGCTCTGACCCAAGTTAACAAAATGACCCATAAGTTGCCAGAGTTATTGTTGAATTCAGGCCTTCAAATGTGCAATGTAAATCAACAGCAACTTTCAGCAATTTTCATTCACATAATGTTCATTGTTATCAGGATACCATAATGGGTCTGACATCATAAGAAAGAGCTCAGTACGCTCTTTGTGATACAAATTAAACCAGAATATTGAAACAGGCCTTAAGATCCGTTTTGTAGGAGCATCAGAGCTCGGGACCTAGGGAGCACTTAACCCAGCGCTACAATCAAGTCTTGGGCCAACACTAGTGATATCCTTGCTTATTACCAGTGCCTCATTGTCATTATTTGGGGAGAAAGGTGAGAGCGGAAAGTTGTTGAGCCAATTCGCTATTTCCAAAAGGCAAGGTCATTCAAGAACAAAGCATGCACGCGAGTTGACACATGGCTGTTTGATAGGGTAGACGTTGTGTGCACATATCGCTTTTCCCTATTGGCCTCGGGTGGGCTTCACGCTGGGCATGTGCCAATAGAATACCATAATTGGCTCATTAACCCTCCTATGCTGAAGTCACTCTTTGGGTCATTTGGTGAACACCTCAAAGAAGCACAGCTGTGTTGTGTTGTGCACTGCACCAACAGTCCCTCACAGGAATATCAGATTGCACTTTTGTGCTGCCCAACAACTGTGCTTCATTGTTTCATGTGCGTAATTGTGCATTAAATCAAATGCAGTGAAGAGGACTGCACAAAAGACCCTGGGTCATTTTGTGCAGGGAACTAACTGGTTACACACTGAACCTGTGCATGTTTGTGTTCCATATAGAAAACACATGCAAGAGAGTGACTGTGGGCACTCGTGCATATTTGTGCTGCAAAACCAAAGGAGGTTTAAAATGAATTTTTTTTTTGGGCTTGTGTTGGAACAGTGCCATCTCTGTGGAACTGTACTACATCTTTGCGACGGTCTGGGGTCGGGAAATGTACACGCTGTACGGCATCCTGTTCGTTGTCTACGGCATCCTGCTGAGCGTGACGGCCTGCATCTCTGTGGCACTGACCTACTTCCAACTGTCCAATGAAGATTACCGCTGGTGGTGGCGTTCCGTCTTCAGTGCTGGGTAAGTCCAACCTCTCTGGTTTTTTCCAAACACCAAATTGCATTTGCATTAACCACTTCCCGCTGGGGTGCCCGGTTTCGGGCACCGTGTGTTTATACGCAGAGCCAGGTGCCCAGTTTCAGACAAAAGAGCTGGTCTGTGTAACAAAAGACTGTACTCGGAACAAAGGACCTGCTGCTGGGAATTGCCATAATTTTTTGACCTCCATTTTTTGAAGGTAGTCCGGCACTGTTTTGAAACAATATACCACTGTTTTGGGCATAGCGAGCACGCAGATTAGTACCGCGGAAAAAAGTGGTCCAGGGCCCATTGAAGAGCGACTCAGCACTGCTGCTCGCTAATCCAGCTGCGTATGAAAAGATGTGAGTGGCATTCGTCGGAACAAAGGAAATTACGCAACACCTCACAATTCTGGGCTCTCTTTTACAGGGCTGCAGGCCTGGGTTGAATACTCGGGCATCAATAAAGGTTGATTGACAGATTAGAGTAGCCACCAGAGAGTCATTCATGTTGATGTAAATGTCCAATAAATGAACACATGAATTTTTGAAGAATTTTGGAAACGGAAAATCTTGAAAAGGTCCCGCCATCTCATCCCGCTCAAGAGAAATCCACCCGGCAGGAAGTGGTTAAGTGCACTAAACCAATGCCAAATTCTGTGTTCAACAAAATCCAACCCCTGGGTTCTTCAACTTCATCTAAGGTGAACAAAGGTAGGTTCTACAACTTTCACAACAAAGCCAAGTTTTACAGTCCTATGCAAAAATTACCAAGGCTAGATTTTCAAGTCTTGTGTAAGGCTAGCAAACTTAGGTTCTGTAGTCTTACATACATAAACAAAATTGGGCAACAACCCCATGTAAAGTTAACAGCACAAGGTTTTACAACCTCCTGTTCGTTTAACAAAGCTGACTTCTAAAACTTTTGTGTAAAGATAAACAAAGGAGGGATCTACAGCTCTGTGTACATCCAACAAAGTCGTCTTGTACAGCTCAGTGTGAAGTTAAAGCTGGATTCTGTAATTCTATGGATGTGAAGTTATCAAATCCAGGCTCCATAGCTGGTCAATTTCATAGCGCTGCTTAAGTGTAAAATTTGTTCAAACGTGAAAAAACCTTGCTTGACAAATCAGATATCAGCCAAAACTTCTCATGATGTATATTGTTTTGAAATGGTATTTACCTGTCTTTTGGTCAGCATGACAATCACAAAGAGTTTGAGCTGGTACCCTTTGTTTATTAAGCAAGGTTTTTTCGCACTTAAGCAAATTCTGTGCTTAAAGCAGCTCTATGAAATTGGCCCCAGACTGTTAAGTCAAATATAGGGTCAGTAGTCCCATGCAATGTTAGCAGAACTTTGGATTCATCAGAATGCTGCAGAACCTGTGAAAAATAGCCCACAGTTTTGTAACAGTTCTAGAAGAGGCTAGGTGGTTCAAGTCAGCCTTACAAACAACCCAGGGACATTTTCTGGGTGGTTGCTTTAGGTCAGTGTCCAAATTATTTTGACATCAGCTGGAAATATCAAAGAAAATACAAGTCAGCAGCTGGTGGCTTCATCCATTTTCTGTAGGCCTTGTGTTATTTTCCAGCTTCAGCCAAGTAACTTCATATACAGCCATGTGCTGAAGACTAGGGTGTTCTCAGAACCAAAAAAAATTTGACTAGCCCAAATGTTGTCTGACATCTGAAGTATCCTCCAACTTAATGAAGTAGCCTGGTGGCTTACCTAGTCTTGCTTCATTGCTTCAAAGTCTCACCAAGCTTTGACATCTGGCTGCCAAGTGTAACATTTTAGGTGTAAAATTAACATTCTTGAATACACAACATTATCTTGATGAATGTAGCTTTCCACGTATGTCTAACATTGCTTCCAATTTTTTATCAAAAAGTCTCCCTCTAACATGCCTAAAATATCAAAATGGGGGAGGGGGTGGATGGATTAGACCCTGATAAAATATGTCTGAGCAACACAGTTTGTCAAGCGGCTCTTTTTACCAAAGCCCTTCTGCCTATATGATTCTAATATGTACTTCCGTTTGATGTTTTTCTTAGTCTCGATATTTTGCATAATTGACATGTAAATCTTGACCGTTCTAGCCCCCTCATCCATCCATCCATCCATCGGTTAAATCTTTTCGTTTCATTCCTAGATCCACCGGTATTTTCGTGTTTATCTACGCGATTTTCTACTTCATGAAGCGCTCCAGCATGACAGGCATTCTGCAAACGGTACAGTTTTTCGGCTTCACTTTCCTCGCATGCTACGTCTTCTTCCTCATGCTGGGCACCGTGTCATTTTTCGCGTCGCTGAAATTTATCCGTTATATATACAGGAATCTTAAGATGGATTAGGTCTGCCTGGTCTAATTGCCTTGTAATTTCATTTGTTTCTTGGTTTGTTTATGGGCGGTTTACAATTTTGAGCATTTCATTAACACAGCGCAGACTTAGGCATGTCACAGTATTTTGTTCTGTCTCGTCTATTCAGTTTTGTGTAAAGTACACAAGGCACCAGACTGCAAAAAAATACAGTGTTCCCACCAAGTTTCTAATGCGACTCTTAAAGACACTGTCGAACACTGGTGTGTAACCTGCGGGAACTGTGTGCTTAATATATTGTTGTGTCCCAGGTATAAATCTGGCCCATTTAGTGATTGCTGCAGTGTTCGGTACGTGTGCGCTGCATCTACCAGTGCATGATAGAAAACGGTTGGTTTCTACAAATGGCCTGCTTTCTTAGCCATGGTTCTTCAATGTGTAGATATCAGAGTGGCCATGCCACAGCAATTGGGCACTCCTCAATGCAGATGGAGTGTTATGGACAATTTTGGATGCACGACTACACATGTGCGTCTTTTAAGGGTGGGTGTGTGTGGGAACACTAGAAATGGCCATATCGTGGTCTGAACCCCAGAACTCAAGAAGTTGTTGATTACTGTAAGCTGCAGGATCTGTCAGTATCAGTCCAGCTTTAGGCATTACGATGGTCAGTGCCCTTCATCAAGACAGTGTGTCAGGACAAGTAGCTGCATCTCGAAACCCAGGAGTCAAATGGGCTACCCTTGAGGGCCAGAAAAACAACTGTTGTGTTTGGTTGAGTAGTTTGGACTGTGAAGGGGGGACCACCATGCTGTGCACTTCCCAGAGAGCCCAGAAAGTTCTGGGAATGTTTACGGACCCCAGTGAACGGGTTAATGAGACTGTGTACAGCGCATTGAGCAGCAGGATTGGTGGATGCCTACACTGCTGAAGCATACCTTACGATTATCTGGATAACTCATCACTACAATGCAACAGTCACAAAATATTCCCAGATATCGGAACATCTGAGTAGTCAGGTAGAGCCAGTATGATGGCCTGTGAAGGCTTGACCCTACAGGTGTTTTTTTCCATCCGCCAACATCAAAGTTGTGAATAAAGAATGGACTGGTAGAATCCATACAAGTGCCACAACCTGTAAGGCATAGTTGAGCTATCAACTCTCCCCCCCACCCCCTCTACCAAGCTCCCCCCCTTGAATTTGGCAAGCAAACATAAACAGGAATGAAAACTTCATTCCTTTTGGCAGTTGTGTGGTGTTTTTTTTCTGGGAACATATCCGGAACATGGTTCAGTGTGGGTACTATTACAACTACCCTGTCACTGTTGCTGAATTCCTGAGAGCAACAAGGACACAGCACCAAGTACTGCACTATAAGAATGGAGGATTTGATGAGGAAAACCGGATTTGTCAAATACAATTTGGGACGCAAACCATTTTCGGCTTTTACAATGTGCTTTGAAGCTTCCAGAATGCAACTTTGCAGTGGGCATAATTACTTGCATATGTGTGCATGTCTCCGATCATGAGTGAATTTTCTGTTACAAAGACACCATGTGAAAACCGTCGAAATGACAAGATTTATTCAAAATAATCTTGTATTAATCACATCCATACAATTCATCAAAGCTTGATTTGTGAGCAGGTTGTTTGATAAGTACAAAAACATTTGTTGTAGATTTGGCAAAGATTGACCAACATTTTCTGTCATTCCTAACCCATCAGTGCCAGTAACATGCCATGAATAACATGCAAATGTTGTCTTATCGTAGACTAATTTGTACAGTAATAACACACAACAGTTGCTCATTCTAAATGAAAGCAAGCACACAATTTCAAAATCTTACGCTGTAGAATGGCCAAGGAGTGCCTCTCTAGTTTTCCTGATGTTTAGAGTGGTGTCAACTGTACCCAGAATTGGAGCCATGCACATGTGTGTTGTGGTACATGCATATACTGTGTACTTACAATGTGAATTTGGGCACTGTGTGTATATTAATGCATGATCCAGGGGACTGCATTTATTACGCCCACCAAGAATTTATTAGATTTGGAATCCAAATTATTAGGTATTAGGGTTTAGTTAACATTAGAAGAATTAAAGTCAACAATTAAATGTAAGTCTTCATAAAGATTTGGCTTTCCTAAAGAAGAGCCCCTACTTTTAAAATTTCTATTCAGTTTGAAAGGCATTGCTGAACAGATATACAATGTTTTGAATTGTTAGCACATAGTTTACATGTTTCCAGTTGGGTTTGTATTTTTACAATTTGTTGGGGCACAAATTCTGGATTAAAGCAATATTCACACATTCACCGTTGTTACAATATTTCCTGATTATCTTGAGTCATTGAGAGCCAATACTCGTAGCGCAATTGTCATAATTTTATGCTTTCTTCCCAATGTGTACCTGTGGTCCATAACCTGGGGCTTTCCTTTGAACGAGCTCACTGTAAGAGTTTAAAAGTGATAACTTCAGCAAATTTCTTGCGATATTTGGGAATGGATCTTTATCATTGTACATGAAGGTGTGAGTTTCTCCTGCAACCTCTGTCTGTTGTGCTATCAAGCCAAGAATATGTGGAGGTTTTAACCGTGTAGGACACAATATGTTTTCCCCCTCATCAGAAAGGTTTGTTGGTTTTCCGTGAGACAGATAATGAAGTGTTTACAGAACATATGTTCTGACTTTCTGGTTTGTGCAAATAATGCATTGTATGACGAGTCGCATGGTTATATGAATGGGATTTTACGTTGGTGTTACATTTGTGTAGGCAGCTGAACATTTTATGGATTTCTCCACTTGGAACCACTGTTATTGCTGTTTCATACTTGGCCTATATAATTGGATTTATGTGCTTTGGAGACACACAGGGGCAGATCTGGAGCCCCATGTTCAAGGAAAGGGGGGCAAAAACTTTGGGAATTCCTTGGGAAGTTCTGGAGTTTTCATGCTCTATGCAAAGAAGAGAAAGATTCTGCTATGATCGAAATATTATTCCATATTTTGTGATTTGTATTTTAGGTCACAGTAGTCAGTAAGCAGTTTTGTATTACAAAGAAGAGAAGATTACCCCCCCCCCCAAAAATGGCCATTCATCATATTTGAAATGAAAACAAAATTGTCCTGGAGGGTGGTCCCTGTTGTCCCCATTCCCCAAACCAGCAACGGAGACATAGATGTCAGAACAGGTGTACATAAATATGAACAAAAAAATCCACTTTGAGGAACTTTGACAAAACTGTAAATAGCTGTACATTTATCGAAGGGTATATGAATGCATCCATAGGTCCTAACATTATAAATGTATTACATCTTTTCAAAACCTCTTTTGTCCACATGTGGCAAAATCCTGGCCAGAACTATGAAAATACACATATGAAAGTTTGGCTTTAAAGCTTGCATTTTTTACTCGGTTTTCATTATTGAAATATCATCTGATAGCTGTAATTCGACACTTTGTTTTCTTGATCTTACTTTCTTTGTTTTATGTAGATATGTATTTAGCATATCATATTTTTTGTTTTAATAAACTCAGTTGTGATATTTATTGTAAGATTATCGTCCAAAGTAGCGGTAAAAATCATTTAAAAAGACTGTTTACAAAGACGGGGATATTGTAATGGTATTTACAACTGCATTATTCTGAATGGTACAGCATAAGTTCTGTTTGCCGTCCGTTACACCAGCAATTCCAGTAAGTTTAACATTTTGGTTGAATCATGGAATTAGATTTAAATGTATTGATATACTAGCCATTGATTTGTTACATCACTGAACCCTCAATTGATCGTGCCGTTGATTTACAGATTCCTATCAGAAACTGACCAGATGGCAGAGCAAGTGTCAATTCCATATATGTGTTATTTCAAGATTCAAGGTAATGATTCTGTCATCAATGTAGAATTGATCTTACCAGATACATGTGCGTAATTAATGCTTTTCTAAGCCAAGCCTTGTGTAAAGAATAATACTGTACTGCATGTGAGAAATCTGTCTTTGTAGTTCGGAATAAAAGGAATCGATTTTTAACTGATTTTCCTCTTGTGGCTTTGATGACATTTAATTCTGCTTACATTGTATACGTACTGACGGTTAAACTTAGTGTGAAACCAAGATCCTTTCCCATATAGATCTTGGCTGCCCCTTGCCAGATCTTTGAGGAACTTGGTATGCCTGCAAAGAGTAGCACACCAAGCTCTTCAGGTTGAATTTCAGGAAAACCAATATGCTCCAGTGGAAATTACTGTGGAAGATCTTAAGCTTTCCTACAGTAAGTTTACAGGATTTTTAGAGGTTTTTGACTCAAACATAAAGGATTTATAGAGGTTTAGTCATTCAGGATTTGATATTTTTATTAATTTATACAGGAACACATGCAAGTTTATATGAACACAATTGTTTTTGGACCGAGCTTGTTAGTAATGGAAGTCCTGGAAAGTCATTGGAGGTTATTGTTTTTGTCATAACCCTTTGATGGATGTTACAAGAATTTCTCTTGGTCAAGTCAATAAACAAGTTAAAACCAATATAAACAGATATTTAGAACAGATTTGTCAGAAGTTGGTCTAATTCCAGGTATAGGTTATGCCCAGTGGTATAATGTAAAACAAAACACGGGAGAACAACCTTTTAATCTACAGTAGTATTATGTTGGAAGACTACAAGTACAGTGGAACCTCGTTAAGAGGTCCTTTGGACTTGGCAAATTATCTTGTTATAACAGAAACCTTGTATTATCACGAATGAAAACAATGAAAAAGAAAGGATTGGGACTTAACAATTTCCTTGTCTTAAGCAGGATCTTGTTAACGAGGTTGGACTGTATGTTTATTTACTGCTGCCATCAGTTCATTTTGAACTGGGGCAAGGCTAGACGGGTGTTGAAAGCCAAAGGATTTTCTGTCCAGTTACTTGAATGGTGTTTTGATCGATATGTAATCAATGCACAATAACTTATCCCCTTATGTCAACACAGGTTTCTGTGTTGAGTCAGGGACCTGTGGTTGAGTTACTGGCATATTTTGTAGCATGATTCTCCTATTCCAGGTCTCTCTGTGGTCCTGTCTGTTTTTTTTCCTTTTTAAATGTGAGTGTACATGTAGTTGGTTTTTCCCTAATATACCTGGCTGAAACATAAAACCCACACTCCATCATGTGTTGTTAGTGCATGTTTTTCCCTCCCGAAATAGGCAATCAAGATTCCAAGTTCGCAAAGAAAGAGCAGGTATTAAAAATTGGACTTGTCGGGAGTTTTTGTAAAGAAGGTGTTTTGGTCTGTATTTGATTTCTGGCAGAGAAATTGCGTGTCCACTCAATCATACCTGATTCCTGTTCTATCCAGCCAAAATTGCAATGTAGTTGCCTGGGGATAGTATTGGTTTAATGGGAGATTCTGTCTTTTTTTGAGGGGGGGGGCAATTGGAGGTTGGGGTGATGTGGGCCTGGCTAGACCATAAGACTGCTTGATAAGGAATTATTACCCTGTTCAATACACCACCACGGGCAAATCAGATTTGAACGTGTGGTTTCCAAGATACTTTTGCCGTCAAACACTTTCTCTATGACATGATTCTGGGCCAGTGTCGCACTAGTAACCTTTGAATGAGTTGATGGTTTGGCTCCATGTCTAATAATTGTGCTTGAATAATTGGTGTTGGTTCTCTTGCACAACAAATTTTGGGCATGTGATTTTTCCCCAGATCAGCCAATTTCTTTGAATGTCGCATGTACATGTACGATTATGTCATTACAAAGTGAAAAACACTGTACATCCATGTATGTGAAGTTTTTAATTTCCATGGTTTTTTTCCAACTTCGTATGTTGTCTGTTCCAACTATGTAAAAGCTTGATATATCATCCAGTACATTAGCACTATCTTACACTTCAGGGATTAAACTGTGTCATTTATTTGAATTGGGTCAGTTTTTAGATGTAAAGAGTTTACTCACAAAGGCACAGTTAGTTTGCAAATTGGAAAATATGTTATTTTTTTTTTGTCGGGATACTTTTGCTGAAGAGCATGCATGTATGCTGAAAGTTGAGACAAGAAAAGGTTGGGAGATTATGATCCCCGAAGTAAAATTCAGATAGTAATTGGGCTTGTATTATATAAACAAAGACAACATGATAAAAGCCGCAATGGAAATATGCTGACTAAGGAGTGACTTCTGACAGTTAAGTAATGGAACCAGTGAAGAACATGTTCCAAACCATGTCAAGTTCACAAAACATTGGAGGATAGAGCATTAAAATATCAGTCAAAACAAAACACTCCAAAATCTAATATTGTGTTTTGTTACAGTTATAAATTTTCATGTCAGAGAGATGTACACAGAGGAGAAATATTGGAGAAATTATCTTGACATCTAAAATGCAGTTTGAAAGCATGTAAGACAAGGTCAAATGATTTCATTGTAAATCATGATGTAACTTGGAGGGCTTCGTGAAAAAATGTGCCCTGTACAATGTAATACTTAACAGCTGGTAAGTTTATAGTATCATATGGTTTGGTTTGGTTTGGTTTGTGGGAGGGTGGATTACATTTCGCCCAGTGTGTCTGAATTATTGGATGTAATTCTATGTTGATTTTTTACACTTTTCTTTCAGATAATAACAAAACAGCATCAGGTGGTTGATTGTGAAAGCCAGTGATTAAAAGCTGGGAACAATTCTTCAGTTTTAATGGAAACCAGTGACAGATTGCTTCCTTTTCCCAAGCTTGCTAAATACAGTCGGACCTCGTTAATAAAAGCACTGTTAATACAAGATTCTGCTTATAACAAGGAAATTTTTAGGTCCCAATCCTTTGTTCTTCATTGTTTTAACTTTTCAAATCACACGAGATTTGCCAAGTCCAAAGGAGCTCTAAATATCGAGGTTTAACTGTACTTCTTTTTACCTAGATCACAGTTATACTTTTTGGGCCTACTAGTGGCTGGTAAACTATGGCTTGCAGTCAGTACAAAAGTAACAGAATAATTCATAGTCACAAAGTGTGAAATGATCTCTGGCAGCTATCAAAACACCAAACAATAAATACCACTATTTACTGTTACATGAAAATGTGGCCTGCTTTTAATGCAAGTAATGGGACAGATGTACAGTTTGAGACTAAACATGACACTAGCCAGTGCAAGGATAATATATGTGCACATTTGGCCACCCACATGAGCAATGCACGATAGGACTAAGAAGGAGCTCTATGTATCTTGGAAGTGGAAGAAAAATGCTTGTTTGTTCAGGGCAGGTGCTTTTTTCAAATATTTTCATTGGTTTTGTCTGGGATGTTGGATGGTGGATGATCATC